CCCCCCCCCCCCCCCTTTAAATCCGTATACGTTGTATGTTTACAAGCTATTTGGTGTTAAACATTCAGATAGTATAAAGTTTCAAGAATATTAATCAAAACAAAGAAAATTAATATTTCTATTGCATACTAAAGATACATTTGTCTTCAAATAATATATACCCGTTTTTTCAACAAAAGCACTTTCTTGGTTTATTTAGCGAACAAATAACGTACAACGTTAGCTATCCAATGTGAGACAAAGAAACGTACTCCAATAGATGAACAAGGCCAACTCTGGGGATTTAATATGTGATTAGGACAAGCAACACTCTAGTAAAAGCCTGATGTTTCAAGTCTTCAGTACTTCATTGAAATGAAAATACATATCGATTTCTTTGCACGCAAGTAAGGTTTCTGAATATGCGTTCTGTTTTGAGAAAAATGACATTAACGTAACCAGTACAGGTCCTGAGATTTCGAGGTCCCATACGAAATTAATAAATTTAATGTTTTTTTGGGTTAAAACAACTACATTTTTCTTAAAGATTAGGGAGTTTTTATTTTTTTCTTTAATATATGTATTTTATGTTAATTTAATTGACTTAATTATGTAAAATTTATAAATTATATATATTTTCTGATATTTTCTAACCAAATATGCAAAATATATAGGTTTTATAAGTATTAAATTCAACTAAATATGGTGTTCAAAAAAATTCAACTAAAAAAATTGATATGAAATGAGGCCCCATCCCAATGTTTTATGGGTGTGTGCTCAAGCCCAGCACGGAACGTAGATTCTTTCACTTGCATCATGTTTATATATAAAAGAAAAAAAGAAAACATAGCCAAATATTTGGCAGATCTTTGTTTATATATTTGAAGAGTACAAAAACTGATATAAAGATTCAAAGTTTCAGAAAAAGTTGCTAAAAAGATCAATTGCTTATAACTTAAGGCGAAGATCAATGCCGTGATCAGTAACTGTGTCACATCTCTCGGTTCTCAAGCTAATAGATAGATCTTGGTCGTCAATTCTCTGCTCATTCGCGGGCATGAAACTGTAGAACGGTTTTTTGTTTGAGTAAATATTAGCACTGCTCCTCTGTGGCATGGTTTCAGGAATAAACCCGTCCTTCTGTTCATACTAAAAAAAGAGGACGAGAATGAAGCTGAAACTGATCAACCAAACTAATAGAAACATATAATAAACTGTATTACATGCATGAAGCGCGGGAAAATGAGTGAAGAGTTTGGTATCATTGGTGGTGTAGGAAGAGTTGCCGGTGAAGGAGAATCAATGGTGATTGGATTTCTAATTGTGGTTCCTGAATCTTGAAAATGAATTTTCATTCTTTGGTCATGTGACTTGATTTGTTTACCATTTCTGAAAAATATAAAAAGTCAAAATTAAGAAATCATTTTTTTCTAAGGATATAAGAAGTAGCGTATAGCTCAAGAAAATGATTAAAACTAAAAACAGACCTTGAAATGGTTACCGTCGGTCCCACGTCACATCTTGTAGACTCTGCCATAACTTGCCATGGCCTTTTTGCAGCAACAATCTGTTCAAGAATATTAAAATATATTATTAATAATTACACTCAGATTAATTACTTTGATTTTTCTAAAGAATTTAGGGAAATTAATAAAATTGCCTTTTCTTTGTCGGGAAATTGAGGGATATTGTCATGGCAAGATGATCGGTTTGAAGGATGCTCTAAAAAATGATAAAACCCTGGATTCGGTAGATTCATCTGTAAACAACACAAATAGAAATAAACAAATCGCTAACCAAAAAAAAGAAATCGAGATTTCAATTTTAAATACATATATATATTTACTAATTACCGGTGGGAGATAGTGAAGAGACGAATCTTGAATCCTTTGAAATACTGGAGCCGGAGGGATCAAATCGTTAGGGAAAGATCCGGTTGTAATATAAGACGGAAACGGGTAAACCGGACCGGTTCTCACTGTGGTGGTCGGAAGAATAACGGACGGAGGTTTTTCCGGCTGAGGAGGAGGAGGAAGTGGTGTGGAGGTGGAGATGTTCTGTTCTTCAAGACGGATCTTCTCGAGTTCAGCTACACCAGGACCTCTTCGAGGAACTCTTCTTCTTCCATTGTTATTTTGCTTCTGTTTTTTCGGACACGGACCAGAGTAATCATCTCCATAGTTTCCAATACTCGTCTTGCTACACATTGTTCTTGTACTACTCTCGTATTTTTTAATATCTTTCTAGGTTTAGTGTATCATATTAAACAGAGAGACATGATTGATAACAACTTATATAAGAAACGGAAGAAAACGTGGTGGAGAAAATTTTGTGGCAAAAGGAGAAAGAAATAAAAAATCATTAAAAGTCGGAGGGATTAAAGGGAAGTAAATCTGAGATGAAATCGCCTCTTGTTTCGTAGTGAGAAAAGTTCTAGGGATTTAAGGAATTTTCAAACTCCATGTTTTTAGCTTTCTTAAGATCTCTCTCTCTTGTTATCAACACCTGGAGATAGTTCACCAAAATCCATATTTACTTCCGTAAATTTCTCTTGGAATTAGTTGTTTGTGTCTACTTTTCTTTACTGCATTTTGTGTTCATGGGAGAAATCATATAAATGAAAAAAAAAATATATAAATGTAATCTGAATAATTGTTGTTTCATTTTGAAAAAGGCGTTTGGATTTGCATGATATGACCACATCTTAGCTAAATTTGAACGTCATCATCTTTATCCAAATTTAGCAACATAAACTTCCCTTTTCTTGAATTAAAATATGTTTTAGTCTTTTAGACCAAGCGCAGACAATAAAATAGCAGACAAATTTACACGGAATGCTTATATTTTACATCGTCCACATAAATTTGCCGGTTTAGATAGTATAAGCTAAATAATTAGAATTTGTATTTGTTTGCAGATACAAAATATGTTTCATATGGCCCTATACTAGAAGTCTATAGAATCAACGGTTGATAGTATCGAATTTGGGTAATTACAGGGGAGAATGTGTGCACTTAAATTGTATGAATTTAAAGTGAATAAATCAAGGGGTCAATCTATTCAAAGGGTAGAAGAAATGGGTTTATCCGATCATTTGTAAAGTTTGTATGGGTTTATTGCAATTTCGTAAGAGGAGAAAAACCTTCCTATTTCGTAAGAGGAGATAACAATTTTATAAATTTAAATTTGGGGATTTTCTTAACATATTTGTATAGTACATGTAGATTGTTCTCCAGGAAGCTGAAGATCATCAGCAATCGTTTATAAATTGGAATTTTGAGGGATTTTCTTAATATATTTGCATTTGTGTTAAGATACCACTTGAGCTAGTTTCCATAAGTTCTTGTTATTTAACTTTTTTATTTCTGTTAGAATTTTAGTTGAGGTGCCAATTTCTCCTTGCAACAGTCATCACGTTATATATCTCACATAATAAGTGAAATATAGTTTTCTCAGTTAAAGGTATAATTCGTTACTAGATCACCATTGTTTTGGCATGGTCCCATACGTACACATCTATGCATCAGCTACTTGAAACTTGTTTTTGGTTGATTATTGGAAAGTTATATGTGGTTTTGTGTTCTCATACTGTCTTGTTTTGTTTTATGTGTAATGATAATAATATAAATTCAATATTCTTACGCAGAAAAATGGATTTATTAAATTACCATTTGTTGCAGGTATCCTAATTGGACTATTTGTAATCAACTTGTTGACCACGGGTACACGTACAAGATACTATTTGTTATTAGGGTTACAGGTCAAAATATATTTTGGTCACCCTATTTGGTAGAATATATAATCCAGAAAATATAAGTCAAATTTCTAAGAAAAGTAACTATGTAATTTCTGTTTAAGAGGTTTTACAGAATGCAGCGAACGGAGAGATGTTGAATTCATTTGGTCAAAAATAAAATTATATCTACAGAAAGCTGACATATTATAGAAGTCATTTTTTTTGTTGAAAATGTAATAATAGCTTTGATGCATGTTATTAGAAACGAGGATAAAGAAACAAATCTTCCAGCTAGTTATGCCATATAACATGAACCTTTTTGAAGTAAGTAGTTAAGTCATTTCTCAAAATACGAAAGAATATATCTTACTAGGAAGCTTAAAGATTACACATCAATGTAGCCAGTATTTCATTTTATGAGTAAGATATCTATCTACCAACTAAGAACAAGAATATAAGATAAATATCTTTTCAAAAATAGAGAAAATAAAGTACTGATACCGCATTTACTGTTAATATATAAGATAATCACACAAAACCCCATACTTAAGTAATGGATCCTGTAAAAACAAAGATATGCTCTTTCCAACTCCTAGGCAAGGGCGTTTAGTTTCTAATCGGGTTCGGTTCGGTTCAATCAGATTTGATCTCTTTGGAAGCATGAAATCTGATCCGATTTGGATATATTTAAAGTCCTGCCAAATTCATTTTATGGTTTCTCGAGTTCGGTTCAGATATCCTAACACATAATAAATCAAATTAAATATGTTTTAATTTCGGGGTTCGGTTCCATATCGAATTTGGGTTACCAAAATAGTTGTTTGTGATTTAAACGTACATTGTTTAATTCACAAACTTAATAATTTTAAAGAATTTTAACAAACAAAAGTTTGATGAAATAATTCATAGTAGTAGAGAAGAGGAGAAAAACATAAACATGTTAAAACTAACAATTCCATAAAAATATGAAACATTATTTAAATTTAAATGTCAAAATAAAGTAACATTATTCTTAAACTTCAGAAACAAATATATTCATAATTAGAATTTAAATGCAATTGTTAAACATAAAAAATTAATCTTTGACCAAATAGGATTATATATTAAACTAAATATTTGAATTAATTATTTATTTAATAGATACTTAGTTTAGGTACTTAATAGTATTTTAGGTAAATGCTTGGGAGTGAGTTGGGTTGGTTATGAGTTTCTTTTGGAGTTTTGAATTTGTTCATGTTTTTCATATATTCATCTGGGTTCGGATTCGGTCCGGATATAACATATAATCTGAAATACTGTAAAACAAGATCCAATATATATTTATATCAAATTTGATTCAGATTTATTTTTTGGAGTTAGATTTGGTCCGGATTTTTTGATTCGGTTTATTTGCCCACCCTTACCAGCTCAATCAAACTCAAAATAGTCGATCTAAATTCAAATTAAAACACTAATAATCATACTATTAATTCAAAACACGTTTAAGTGAAAACTTTATAATTTGAATGACCTAGAATATGACCTGACAAAAATGACGTGTATTAATGAAAAAAATGTGACTTAACTCCACCTAGGATTAGACTTGCTGAAATTGGTGATTAGACTTGTTACACAAAAACTTTGATTTAGAAATAAATCAACAAAAACAATAACCCATTTCATAACCAAACATAATATTAGTTAAATACTTTTTTTGAACAACAGTTAAATACTATATAATAGTCAAATCATTAGACTATTATATATAATCACAACTATAATAACATTATTAATAAACAATTTTATGATAATATTATGATTATATACAAGTGTATCATATTATAAAGTCTATATATGATAAATATTTTAAATTTGTATGAACTATATAGTTTTATGTAAAAGCTAATATATAAATATAGTATTTATCATATTATAAAGTATATATCTATGATAAATATATCAAATTTTTATGAGTTTATAGTTTTATGTCAAATTATATAATCAATATTGTACAATTTAGAATTACTATTTTATGAATAATTATCATATCATTAATCATATTCTAAATTATATATACGATTAATATATTATATAAAACTTATAGGTTTATAAATTTTAATCAATGTCCTATAAATTAGAAGATAATTATAAAATGCTTTATATGATTTGTTAATTCAAAAGCTTTTAATATTTAAATTTATGTGCATACAGTGATTAACATCCCATGCAGATGGAGAAGTATTAATTTAGAAAGGCCACGTTATAATTTGAAAATGAATGGCTTAATTGATCATATCTCTATAATATTATTTGAGAAGTCAGTTTCCTACGTGTCGTGATCACGTTAATTCTCACGATGGTTGATTACATAGATACCCTTAATGATTTGTTAGATTTTAAGATTATTATTTTTATTTAGTTTTTTTTACCTTTTTCCAAATAACATATACAATAAAAAGGAAATATTTCTAAAATTTTAAAACAAATTTTAAAAACTAAATATATGTATATAATAAGACTTTATTAAAACGGAAAGTTCACAAAATAGGAATACCCCATTAATATATATTTTAAAATAACATAAAATATATTTTCAAAATAATAAAAATATATATGTTCATGAACATCCAAAAACTTATCAGTTGCACTTTATTTTCTAATATTTTTTTAGAAATAAACATATAATTTGATAAATATTATGAAAATACATGTATATTTAAGCGATAACTAAAACTAATTTGATTTGACTTAACTAAAATAAATAGTAAGTAAATATTTTGAAAATACATGTATATTTAAGCGATAAATAAAACTAATTTGATTTAACTTAACTAAAATAAAAAGTAATTATTCTTCAATTTTAATTTACAAATATATGATATTCAATATACTCACAAAATGAATGACTCGGCTAATCTAATTTATATTCAAAATTAATCAACTAACTACAATAAGAACATATAATTTTATAATAATAATAATAAAAATAATAATATTAATAATCTATTTAGTTTTATACATATAAACTAGAGGTTGACCCAAAGCATATTAAAAAGAAAAAGAAAATATTAACCAATTACAATTTAATTCTTTTTAGAATTTATATATATGCATGCGACTTCAAAATATTATCATTATATTAATTTATGTAATTTTGAATTAAACACTTCAGCTTATTATTTATTTCATTTTAAGAAAAAATATATATATATATATATTAAGTTATACATAATTTAACTATAATATATTTACATATCTAAGAATATATTTACATATATAAAGACAATAACCATCCGAAATGAAAATAAGAAAATTAATCAAAGTTTTATTATATTTAGAATAAAAAATATTATAGCTGAATTCAAAAAATAAATATTATCTAATATACCAAATTGATAANTACATAATTTAACTATAATATATTTACATATCTAAGAATATATTTACATATATAAAGACAATAACCATCCGAAATGAAAATAAGAAAATTAA